TGGTTTCTCCAGGACAGTCGCTTAACTAAAGCAAGGGAGGATTGTGTGATAGTCTCAACGAGGGAATTGGAGAAAAAAATAAAACTCTTGTCTGGCTAGCTGAGCAGTCTGACATTCATCCTTAGCTAGAAATAGCTTTTCCTCTTAGGAAGATATATGGATCTGTTCTGCAGTAGGGGTGGGCAACTTTACGGGGTCCAGAGGTACCTCTAAGAACCCTGGAGTGTTGCCCCAAATGCCCAAAATCTTGCAAAGAAAGGGGTGAGGAAGACTGGTCAACAACCAGAAGTGGCTAGAAGTCTTCTTCCTCTTGCAAAAATTTGGTATTCTGGAATGTTAATAGTGCAAGAGACTTACTGACCTATTTAAAAGGTGAATGGCCACTTCTGGCATTCATTTTTTTAAATCACAAAGAGAGAAACCAATGAAGGGCTGGGGCCTGCAGAAAAAGCTTTGGGGGAGATTGCACACATGCTCCCAAGACCACCCTTTCCCTACACACTCTGTGTGGTCCAGTTTTTGCTTTTCTTTCAGCTAGGGCCATAGTCAGACACCTGACCAGCAAGCAGCTTTGTGCTTCACTGTTTCAGTTGAAGTCAGATCTGACGTTTTTATTTCTTCTTATTAATCAGCTTTCACCCCCTAGAAAGAGAAGTCAGGCCAGGAAAGAATTATTTATTTATTACATATAATAATTTTATCATATAACACCCTCCTCTCAGATGTTCATGTTCATTTATCTCAGCTGCTGCAATCCACAGTGATGCAGTGGGTGACTCCCACATAAACAGCCTCTTCGATAATGCTCCCCTTGACCACAGGATGCTTTTCAAAGATGATCCAACTAGCATTCTCATTAGTAACAATCAGATTCCAAATTAGATTATCTGTCTTTTAGTAGGTCGAAATGCTTGTAAGCCGAAGCACCATTTCCCATGGAAATGCATGGGAACGGGATTAATCCGTTCCAGCATTTCAAAAAACCTCGGCGGGCCTTACTCATGAGTAGACCTGCGCCAGGGACGGGCAGGTAACGCACCAGCTTCCTCGCCTGGCAGCTAACTGGAGCCGCCCCATTTCTCCTTCCTCTTCCTGCGCCGCCGCTGCACACCCCGTCCACAGAGGAGCCCCTCTGACCCGCGTGCCCCAGCTCAGCCCAGCACTTTCGGTGGGCCTTACTCATGAGTAGACCTGCACCTTAGGCGGGCCTTAGTCATGAGTAGACCCGTGCCAGGGATGTACTGTACCGGCTTCCCGCGCCCGGCAGCGATCCAGAGCCGCCCCCGCCTCTCCTTCCTCCTCCCACACCACAGGAGTACAAATGTTCCCTGACCCCCTACTCTAACCATTGGGACGAAAGAGCTACAAAGAAACAGCGTCTTCTCTAGCAACGGTTTGAATTTCCTGCTTTTTCCCCCTGCCTTTTTCTGTTCTTAGGTTGAAGCTCCACTCGCAAATCAAAGCAAAATTTTGTGAGCGGAGCTGCTTGTAAGTCGAAATGTTCTTAGGTAGGGGCATTCGTAAGTCGAGGCACCACTATAAACAATATCCTGTTTTTCTCCCTAAAATTGTGCTCAGTGTAGTTAATACTGGCATACACATTAAAATCAATATTTTGAAATTAAAAACAAATCAGTTAAAATTAAAAGATACAGCACCCAATCAATTAAACCTCTTTCAAGAATAGACTGCTTTATATACCATAAGCCTGTCTGAATAAAAATGCATTTGCATGCTTGTGGAAAAACAGCAGAGAAGCAACCCAGCTAGCCTTCCTTGGGGGGTGTGTGATTAAGAGCGACCACTGAAAAGGACTTTTTATTATGCCTTTGCTGGAGGAGTCCTCTAGTGAAGATGAGGAGGGGCCTCCAGAGGAATACCCCATGAACTTAGGGATGCAAGACATCACATATCCTGAGGAGGAAAGCCCAGACTTGTGAGGGTCTGCGGCCTAAAGGCGGGAAGGAAGAGCCAGGATTCCTTCAGGCCGCTCCAGCCACTCGCCCGCCCACCCCTGCTTACAGAGGCAGGCGCCCCTTCTCGCGCGCTGTCTTTTAGTAGGTCGAAATGCTTGTAAGCCGAAGCACCATTTCCCATGGAAATGCATGGGAACGGGATTAATCCGTTCCAGCATTTCAAAAAACCTCGGCGGGCCTTACTCATGAGTAGACCTGCACCAAGGATGGGCACGGAGTACACTGGTTTCCCATGCCTGGTAGCAATCTGGAGCTGCCCCCGCCTCTCCTTCCTCCTCCTGCCCTGCAGGAGTAAAAAAGTTCCCTGACCCCCTGCTCTAACCGTTGGGGGAAAGAGCTACAAAGAAGCAACTTCTTCGCCACCAACCGTTTGAATTTCCCACCTTTTCCCCCTGCCTTTTTCTGTTCTTACACCAGGGATGTACTGTACCGGCTTCCCGCGCCCGGCAGCGATCCAGAGCCGCCCCCGCCTCTCCTTCCTCCTCCCACACCACAGGAGTACAAATGTTCCCTGACCCCCTACTCTAACCATTGGGACGAAAGAGCTACAAAGAAACAGCGTCTTCTCTAGCAACGGTTTGAATTTCCTGCTTTTTCCCCCTGCCTTTTTCTGTTCTTAGGTTGAAGCTCCACTCGCAAATCAAAGCAAAATTTTGTGAGCGGAGCTGCTTGTAAGTCGAAATGTTCTTAGGTAGGGGCATTCGTAAGTCGAGGCACCACTATAAACAATATCCTGTTTTTCTCCCTAAAATTGTGCTCAGTGTAGTTAATACTGGCATACACATTAAAATCAATATTTTGAAATTAAAAACAAATCAGTTAAAATTAAAAGATACAGCACCCAATCAATTAAACCTCTTTCAAGAATAGACTGCTTTATATACCATAAGCCTGTCTGAATAAAAATGCATTTGCATGCTTGTGGAAAAACAGCAGAGAAGCAACCCAGCTAGCCTTCCTTGGGGGGTGTGTGATTAAGAGCGACCACTGAAAAGGACTTTTTATTATGCCTTTGCTGGAGGAGTCCTCTAGTGAAGATGAGGAGGGGCCTCCAGAGGAATACCCCATGAACTTAGGGATGCAAGACATCACATATCCTGAGGAGGAAAGCCCAGACTTGTGAGGGTCTGCGGCCTCCTAGTCCTTGAGAAAGAAGGGAATGCTTATTTAGCACTCTATGGAGCAAATCGGAGTAACTGAAATGGAGTATAACAAGCAGTCTCCATCCTATAACCATTCCTGAGACCAGCTTGAAATGGGTATTGGTTATGCTGTATGTCTCGGGTAGAAATCTTTAGAGTTGAGACACTGTCACATGCTCTAGTTTCCTATTTGAGAAAGCAACTGGAAACTAGCTGAAAAATTATCTTATGCAATAGACAGAGCTCAAAAAGTTTTTTAAAGTGAAGTTCTTACTATTGTGTCTTTTAGGCAAGATGGAAGCACACCTTGTGTTTCATCATTCATCACTACCATTAACTATCTCAGTAAGTTTCTTGGGTGTGACACCTGTCTGGCAGGTGGTCACATTTGAACCACTCTTAGTTTTGCCACAGAAGCTTCACAATCTAAGATTGGTATTGAAGTAACGTGTGACCATTCAGTTAGCAGATGAGGTTCATGTGAGGAGATTTCTCCTCGTTACAAGTTTTGAGTTACTGTATATGTGTGTTAGAATTTAGAAATTATATGAATGTATTAGAAATAGCCAATAGCATAGTTAGTTAAATGTGTTATGCAAAACAGCCATGCCTTACAAAGTCCTTACTAAGAATGAAGACAGAGACATTAAGACACATAGGAACAACAGTAACAAAAGGCCTTAGGGTACAATTAACACAGCCATCTTATTATTTGAATAAAGCAAGCTCAAGGACACAGATAAACCTTATCCATTATTTTTATTCTTTACCTTTACCTTTATAAAAGTAACCCAACCCAAACTGAGCCAAACCATGCTGAACATAAAAATGGTAATTTAGCTCTTGTAATAAAAGAGTCCTCTAATAATTTCTAGGCACTGGATAACAAGAGGAATGAGCTAGGTGCTATATAACTGTGCATAATGACTGAGGAAAGCGTTTTCTGGCATTACATAACAAGAAAGTGAGTGGCCTCGTGATTTTATCTGAGTCTACAAGTCCTCATTTTCTGAAAGTACTATTCAGGAGCTCTGAAAGAAGGAAAGTGTTTTGGACATTGTGCGTGCATTGTAGGACATCTGGGAGTATGATCCTGAGACTTCAGCCACATTAGAGACACAGGAATGCTGGTAGTTTATCAAAAACCAGATCTAGAAGAATATCCTGGACCCTCAAAGAGAAATTTACTGGAAACACTCCTGCTTTTTGTCCTCCTGAAGTATTGCATTTCAGATCTTCATTCCATAAAATTCCTTTAAGGAAGTATGGGACAGCTGCAGAAGGCTTACAGAATATTATGGGTGGGTGGGAATAAGGAGACAATTGGAAAAGCTACATCTCAATGAGAGGATCCAGGCTGCAAAAGTGAACTTTGATAATCATGGGAATAACTTTTAGAACAAATACAAATTGAGGCCTGTAACTACAGTAAGAGAGACTGTATTTGTTGACCTGATACAAGAATATAAAACAAATTGCCTGTACTGGCATGATGTTGGCTGGGATATTCTGGAAGTTGTAGTCCAAAAAAGAAAAAAAATCTCATCCCTAATATTACCTCACTCTTAACACCACTTTACCGAGTTGTTTGTAGCCTTGCTTTCAAAATGATTGTCATGGGGTCTCTTAACAAGAGTACCATTCTATTTAATTAAGGGAGTATTGCCAGTATGATCTGTGCAGCAAAGAAATTGTAATATATGAGACTCTTGATCAGCACTTCCATAAGGAGCTCAACCATATACTGTACCATGAATAAGAGTGTGGGAGAGTAGCATTGTGTCATCCATGGCATATCCTGTCACATGAAGTGTCTTGGAATCCAAAATGCCTTGGAGGTATTAATACTAGAACTGTATTTTCTCCTTTTTTTGGGGAATAGAAACAGAGAAGATAGGGCTGGAGGCTGGAAATGGGTTGCCACCTTGGAAATTTAATGACCAGCTCTTTCCCTGTGATGTGTGTGGAAAAGTGTTTGGCCGACAGCAGACGTTGTCCCGACATCTCTCCCTGCACACAGGTAACTTCTTTTTTAAAAAATAGTGTTGGACAGTTGCACTGAGTTCTTTTTTTAATGGCAACAATAAACTTTTCTTGCATGCAAATAACGGTGGATTAATCTGTCCTCTGTACACTTTGCAATACTCACAAACAATGGGACTCTTAAAACTTTTAAATAAAATTCTCTTATCTCTCTCTTGCTATGATTGTAATGAAATATCTTAATTTAAAAATCAGCAGCTGGAGTTCCCTAGGCCCGTTTCAACTCATTGCAGAGTCCTATCTTCCTCCCTTTCTCCATTGCCAGTTTAGGGGCTGACTACATGGGTATTTAGCCCACTGTTTGGAGCACTGCAGGGACAGACTGGTGCACTCTTAAATACAGCAATCAGACATATTTGCTAAAATGCACCAGTCTACCCCAGAATGTTTCTACTGTCACCTTTCTGGTCCCTATAGGGGTTTTCTGCTTTTGTTTGGTGTGGGTGGGACCACTCTGGTTTGAATCAGTTCCAGAATGTGTGATAGCTGAAACTGATCCAAAATAATCTTCCCAATTTGAATTTGTCAATATGGTGAAGTGGCACAATAAGAAAGCCACTTCAGGATATTGGCAAATTAATCACTTCCACTACTCAGCAGAGGGTGGGGAAGTGGATTTTTTTTACTATATGTAGATAATTGCTAAAGTGCTGCATCAGTTATTTTTTTAAAAAAATATTTCTGTGTCTGAAAAGCTCAAAGGGATTTTCGGTAAACACCACACACCCATGCGTTTCAAACCCACAAACACACTAAGTCAGAGACTCATCCATCCAAAAGACCGGACACCAAAACACAACAAGAGCAATATAGTATATGCACTCCAGTGCAAAGAGGAGTATTTGGAGTGCTACATTGGAGAAACCAAACAGCCACTAAACAGGAGAATGGCCCAGCACAGGAGGGGCAATGGCTCAGGACCACAATCAGCAGTGTTCCTTCATTTGAAGGACAAAGTGTACTCATTTGATGACCAAGATGTACTTATTTTGGACCAAGAAGATAGGTGGTGTGAGAGAGGGGTCAGGGAGGCCATACATGTACATATAGAAAATCTCTCACTCAAGGGGGTGGAAGTCTTAGATACAATCTATCTTCTATTTATCATGCTCTCCTTTCATCTGTCCCCAGAAAGATCAGGACCACACACACTAGAAAGACCACTGTTAACGACTGTTAACGACCCATGACAATGGGTCGAGAAGGACTGCAGAAGTGGGATTATCCCTCACCCCCAGTCCTTTGTCCTTCTAAGGAGCCTATTCAGACCAGGGGGAAGTGAAAACAACATAGAGGATATACTGAAGAAGTTACTTGGATGAGTAGTGAAATGTTTCAACCTAACAAGAAAGAAATCCAGTTGTCATGACTCAACTTCCAGATAACCTCACTTGAATTTCTGAGAATCTTCATAGATATACTCATGAAGCCACTTCATGATGTTGACAGGAGCCATTTCCATTTAACAGTCAGGCTTTATTAGATCATTCTAATAAAGTGTGACTGTTCCATAGTGGCCCACACTCCCCACACTAGCTTACTCCCTGTTGCTAGTGTACCAGAACACTTAGAGGGAAAACACGTGTGAGGAAATGTCATATTCATAGCAGTAGACAAACCCCTACAGGTGTGAGGGGTGGGGGTTCAGGGTTGAGGTGCTAATTTTTCATCCCTCACTTTTTGCAGGCAGCTTTCCAAGAAAGCTGCTGATAAGGCTCCTATATCTGTAGCTGATTTCTGAAGTTTCCAGAAACACAATGATCAGTAAATTAAAAACATTGGGCCGTAGGATTAGATGCAGAGGTGCTCTTGCAAAACAGCAGGGGGAACAATGCTGATGACCTGATAGGAAAAACTGAATATCTGGGTTCAGATCATTCTCCAGTAAGTGCTGAAGAAATTAACTCCTTCTAAAAATTATACCAGTATCAGTTTTGTCAGGCATGTGTGGTGTATTGATATTTGTACATACTGCAAATCATGGCATGCAACATGCCTGTGCATGCACACACACTTCAGCAATTTTTGCATACTAGTAGAGAGCCCAAATTGTTCCTTGAGAAAGTAGTACATTTGTTTAACGAGACTACTATTGAATATTCTATGACTTGTACAGTATCTGTAAGTCAATTGGGGTAACTTTGTTAAAAGGAACCAACAAACAAACTCAATTCAAACACAGAAGAATCTTCCAGATACTTTCCTGCCTGAACTTCTTTCCTTGTAGAAAAGCTGGTCCTGGGGTTGTGGACCAGATTTCCTAGTAAAAAAATGTAAAAAGTAGCCAATCACAATTTGTAGTGGCCACTTAAAGCCCATGTACACTCCTGCCATCCTCTGTCATGTATAATTATACCAAGGTACTGTATATAATCAGCCATATATTTTCCTTTAACAGAGAAAGAGCTGAGTAGTTGTAGTAATGATGACATCTAATTAAACTGTTACCCTTTTCCCGGTAATAAAATATTATTTCAAAGCAACTGTAACAAAGCATCAAATGTGAATATGTAACAACAGGCGATCATGTTTAATTTTCTTTTGCCCATCTATGCCTGATGAAAGATTCTGAAGGATTTGTTCTGGAGTAATACTATGCAGTTATTGTTTATATAAAATTGATGTGAAATTTTAATGCAACTACATTGTTTTAAATAAGAGATTTACGGTAGCACAGCTGTATTATATTGCATTAAAGCAGCTAACTTTATAAGAAAACATTTTAAAAGTTGATCCACTAATTTACAAAGCAAGGGATATTTATGTTGACCTAATGTAAGGACTTTTTGCCAAGAGATTCAGTGTCAGACATCACAAAATTGAAAATAAGAGGGTTTCCTGCTTTGCACCTTTCTGCCTCTGAAAGCAATACAAGCCTTCCTTAAATGTAGGTGGCTTAGGTTGATTGTTCCAGTCCATCTTACACATTAGAAATAGATGAAGAGTTCAGTCTGAATTCACAGAAATCGATAGGTTAACATTTCAGTTTCCCGAGGAAGAATAAAGAGGCCAATCTGAAAGCAACCTCACTGCGTTCATAACAAATACATTGCATTTGTTTTATGCACATTGCTAATTTGCTGGACCTATGTCACCAAGAAAACCATGCCTTTCAATCCCAAAATAATTTTTTATTTTAAAATTGTTTCCTGTGTAAAGTATAATTAGTGAGGCAGACAGCCCAACTGAAACATGACAGCTATACAACAACATTCATTCTGCCAGCATGTATGGCCATCTTTTTGGTTCAGCAGTAGGCAGATTTGTCAGTGTCACTTTCTGTCACCTTCCAGTGTCTCCCAGGTCACTAAATTCTGGTTGAAGCAAATTCTTATAATTCTTCACTCTCTCCGTGCCTAGTTCAGCTGCAAATTTGTGCTGGCGCTGTGCATGTTGTAAGGCATTGTATGCAGCATGCCTGTGCACATGCTAGCAATTTTTGCACACTGGTAAAGAGAAACGAATGTGTTTGTCTTCTTGGTGACAAAATCTCTTTTCCATCTATGTCTCCACCCTTAGAGTAGAAAAAGGAAGAATGATAGAGGAAAAACAAAGAGAAGGAATAAGGCTGCTTCTACCTTCGTGTTTTACTGCAAGATAGTTCGGCGCTGTGGTTTCACACAAATACATGCTGAGATGTGACACTTCAAAGTACCACTGACCATTATAAGTGAACTAGTGTTTAAGTACAGTATAGGGTTTGCAATCACCCAGACTGGATTGTGTCCACGAGGGATTGTTTTAGATTTTCTGAATTATATCTACAAACAATTGACAGTCAAGTCATGAGTTTTCAGGGTTGTTGTTGTTTTCTACTTGTAAACAATGAGTATGTGACAGTCTTGAGTTAAGTTTAAACCCCACAGATGTCAAGTGAGAGATATCCCAGTACAGTATATGTGTAACACTCCTGTTGAAACAAATGGGACTCAAAAGCTTTGGTTGGACCCATAGGCAGCTCATGGCCCAAAGTTTGGAGGATATGTACCCCACCCCCTGCTCAGACCATGACATGCCATCATTGTCTGAAATTAACCTGAACAATGAACAGGTAAATGCAATGCACGCTGCTTTGTAGCATCAATGATATTTGAGCAATGTCTCAGGATCTTTTTCCATGTGTGTTAGATATATTTTCTCTATGGTGATCCACATCTTGTGGAGAGTAATTCACATGTAAGAAGCTCCTGTGCCCAAGTTTAGCCATTTGTAGGCAGAGGCTGCACACACTGCTGAAAGTAGGAGAACTGAGCACCCTGTTTCTGACCATGTACCTCTGCATTAGAAAAAGCTCAAAAGTGTGCACCAGCTGTTAGAGAATACAGATAGAACTTGGTAAAGTTACTTTTTCTGAACTTCAGTTCCCAGAATGCACCACTAGCTGAGGAGTTTTGGGAGCTGCCATCCAAATACATAACTGTTCCAGACCCTGAATAATGAGGAGCCCTTGCACGCTGCTGGAGCTTTACTGTATCCAGATATATGTATTTATGTGAGAGAGACCCTTCCACTCAAGGCGCTTAATGTTTCTTTCCAGAAGAGAGAAAATACAAATGCCATTTGTGCCCATATGCTGCTAAGTGCCGTGCTAACCTGAACCAGCACCTGACTGTCCATTCCGTGAAGCTGGTGAGTACAGACACTGAGGACATTGTCAGCGCTGTCACTTCCGAAGGCAGTGATGGAAAGAAGCACCCTTATTACTACAGGTGAGGACCCAGTGGGAAGCCAAGCCCAGAGACCAGGCTCCGGCTGTCTTTTCTGCCTGCCAGGTTGCTTAAAAACAAAAAGGAAAGCACAGCGGTGTCTTTGCTTCTGGGGAAGAACCTGGCAGGTGTATTTGGCCTGCCTACTCTTGACCTCAGCAATGATCAGAATTAGAGCCATGAGGATTTTGTAACTGAATGTCAAAGTCAGGTGCACTTGAAAAATGGAAGTAGCCTGTACAGTAACTGTACATTAGGTATGGGTAAAATGAGCCACGTGTGGCCCCTTAGGTCTTCCAGTTCTCCAGAACCAAACTAAAAACTGTGGGTCATTAGATGGAAGGAGGTCCATGCCATCTTCCTTCTAATGAGAGCATGAAAATGTTGTTTTTTGGACTTAATAGTGATAAATAATCATGTCCTGTCAAGTCAATATTGACTTATAGCAACCCTTTTCAGGGTTTTCCAGGTAGAGGATACTCAGAAGTGGTTTACCATTCCCTTATTCTGGGAGCACTCTGGGACTATGAAGCTTGCCCAAGGCCACACAGGATGCCTCTTCCCACAGGAGGCACAGTGAGGAACTGAACTCCCAACCCCCTGCTCTGCAGCCAGATATCTAAATTGCTGAGCCAACTACAGTTCCCAACATCTCACAAGCAGCATAGCAAGCAACATCTATGTATCCAGTTGCCATAGAGTTCCTCTGTATACAGTGGAAATCACACCAATGCAAACTGACCCAAATGTTATGTAGTTAAATTCATTAAACTGAAGGATTTTTCCAGCATTCAACTGTGCCTTCAAAGTTGTTCATTTAGAGCTGTCACTATGGGTTTCTGAATTCCAACCACAGGGTTGATCATATAAATTAGACGTTCAGTGTCTGATCATGTAGTTTCTGTAGATAAACTTAATTGGTTTTTAAAAACCCTTAAAACCACTGAGGCATAAAGAAAGTCAGGTCAGTTTTATGTACATGTGAGTACATGCATGGATATTTACTAATGATTATATTATACCTTTCTTAAGCCAAAGACAAATCAAGACGGGTTACAGCAATTTAAAATAAGCAGCATAAAAATAATGTATAATAAAACAACTTGACAGAAACAGTAGTACAAATAGCATAAGCAGTATAAACAAGTCACTTAAATTTTGAGATCCTCATTTAAAATTATTTTCAATATACCATTTTAAAAGAGAGCTGAGGAGCATTAATTTTTTGACTACAACTCCCAGAAATCCTCAGCCAGCATGACTGGAGATTTGGGAAGTGGTGGTCTCAAAAAGTAACTTTTCCAAGCAGCGTTTAAAAGTAGGCAATGGTGTATCTTTTGGGGTAAATATTTGCTTTATCTAAGCATTATGATCACAAAATCATTTATCTCAGCCTTACCAGCCAAACGGGTGGGAGAAGGAAGAAAAGGTTTTTTAAAATGAGCAAAGTTCTTGAGGCAATTGCTCAGATACCTTGATCCCTGGTCACTTAGGACTTTAAAGGCCAGTTTGCATGTCTTTCAGCCCTAGCAGGATGGTGGGCTATTTGCAAAATGTCTCTCGGTAGCACTTGTGTTTGCATGGTGGATTAGAGCTCGCGCCCAGCTAGGCAGAAGGAATCCCTGAGCCCATTTTGGCTTGCTTGTGTTGAGAATGCCAGGCATCTCTGCACGAGAGCCCAACCTGACATGGGACTCTCTCCAAAGCTCGGGAGCTGCTCATGAAGTGTTCAGCACACTTTCCATTTGTTCACACAGCAGCCTGACTAAACATCTTGGCAAGACTGCAGCACATCTTATTGCCCAAAGGAAATGGCTAGGTGATGTGCAGCATCTGGAACCTGTAGTTTTTAATTAACTTTATGATTATTTAGCATCATTATAGCGTGTTCGGGATTGTTGCCTTGTGCCTACCCTTAATCAGCTTGGCATGGCTGTCAGTTCATGAGCAGTTCAGCAGACAAAAGAGTATCCCAGTGCAATTTAAATAGCACGGAGAAGACAAAGTTGGTAAAATGAGGAGCTGGCCAGGTTGAATGAAGGGAAATGATGTTCATCTGTCAAAATGGGACTCCTTAAAAGCATGATTCTTAATTTTTCTATTTCTCTTCCATCTCCAGTTGTCATGTGTGTGGATTTGAAACCGAGATGAATGTCCAGTTTGTCAGTCATATGTCGCTTCATGTGGATAAAGAACAGTGGATGTTTTCTATTTGCTGCACAGCCTGTGATTTTGTTACCATGGAAGAGACAGAGATGAAGGCTCATGTGGCCACCAGACATGCAGGTGAGGATAACCTCTCACTGTGTCCAGGTTTGGCTCCTTCCACTGCCACTCTCTTGCATTCTGCATCATCTCTATCATCTCTATTGAAAGGTTGACTGATGCCATTCCCATGACAAAATCCCACTGGTGTCAAACTCATGGGCATAAGGATGAAAAGAGCAAAATGGGTTCTAAAAATCATTACATGCATTATATGTTACAATGACATCATTTGTTGTTCAGTTTCTTCTGCTTAGTGTCAGTCCTGAATAGCTGGGGCTGCTCTTGTCAAGAATTTTCCACTGTTAATCACTTCCATTAGACGAGGGCATGCTAGAACCTTCACACTTTCTCTGTGTGACTGCCCTTGCTAGTGCTTTGTGTAGTATTATGTAGGAATCCACCCAGATACATTGTGCAAGCAGGAGCAGTGACCTTATATCCTTGTGTGGGAATAACTTCATGAGCTTTGCATATTCTTATATGAAAGGAGTGACGAGTGGCTTCTGACTCCTGCTTATCAGGCTGCTGCTACTATCATCTTCCCACCACCACCACTATTTTGAGTGCTCAAAAGTGATGTCCTACAAGTGAGCAGGTCATGGAGATCACAGAAAAGAGGCACAAGGAGAAATTTCAGTTCAGTCAGTACTCCTTTGCTAGAATCTCTCCCTTTCTGAATAGAAACATAAGGAGCCTGATACAGGCTTGATACAGGTCTCCTTTTAAAGAACTGAATCATGGAAGCACAGAATCATAAAATAATTGAGTTGGAAAGGGCCTATAAGGCCATCAGATCCAACACCCTGCTCAATGAGAGCTTGTTGATGGTTACTCTTTTGGAGTACAACTCCAAGAATCCTCTAGCAAGCACAGCTGTATTCAGACTGTAGACTGAATAAACATAGTTATAGTGATTGCCTGGAGGATGTGTGGAGCTGATATCTGAAAATGTTTTTTTCCCTTGTGTGGCAATCAACCCTTTGTTGCCTCTGTTTCTTTGGGCCTCACAAAGGTGCACACGCCCTTTTTGCTGCCACCAGGTATTCTCCTAATACCAATTTATGTCCCACACAGGTGCTACCAACATTAAGGGTCATAGAACTTAGGAAGCAGAGCTTTTAATTAAGTGTTCTTTTATTATTAATCAAATCAAAAGGTAAATCACATATGAGTTGGTTCAGGTGTTAATATATTTTGGTTCATATAGTCGATCACTTTTATTTTGGGCTGCTGTATGCTTTCAATCAATATCTCTCAGGTAATGTTTATACGTTCATTCCTGTTTGTTCAATGTGTTTTAAATTTCTCAATTTCCTCTCCTAACCCCCTTAGATCTATTCACTAACCCTCTCCTTCATTCTCCTAAACCCTAACACTCTCTAACTCTCCCTAACTCCAACTGCCTGTCTAACTCTCCAACTGTCTCTCCAACTCCTCTAACTGCCTCTCTAGCTCCGCCCCTCCTGCTCTATCCTTGCCTCCTCCCCCTTAGCTGCTGTGATGGACAGGCAGGAATGACGTCACCTTTTTGCATTCCGCTACACCTTGTTTTCAAGCTTGGTCCTTACAAGACATAACTAGGAAAGATGCTTAGATAAATGTGCTGCACTAGGTTTTCTTTTTCAAAGGAAGAAAACTGGCTTGAACATACTCAAGAATAGAAAGGCTCAATCTTTTTCTGGATCTAGGAACAGACTGGCAAAGAAAACAATAGGTACAGTGGTGCCTTGCTTAACAACCATAATCTGTTCCAGGAAAATCGCTGTTAAGCGAAAACATCGTAAAGCAAAATTAAAAAACCCATTAAAACCCATTCAATGCGTTCCAATGGGCTAAAAACTCACTGTCCAGCGAAGATCCTCCATACGGTGGCCATTTTTGGTGCCTGTATAGTGAGGAATCCATCCCTAAGCACAGCAGGGAGCCATTTTAATCACCCGGTGGCCATTTTGAAAACCCGACAATCAGCTGTTTTTGATCGTCATAAAGCGAAAATCGGTTCCCGAAGGAGGGAACCGATCATGGCTAAGCGAAATTCCCCCTTTTAGACCATCGTTTTGCTATCGCAATTGCGACTGTAAAAACATTGTCGTAAAGCAGATTCATCGTAATGCGGGCCAATCGTTAAGCGGGGCACAACTGTATAAGGGTCATAGTGTTCTTGAAGGGACTAGAAGTGGCATGTTAAAATACAGTAAGGCATCATCCCATTAGTGGTCAAAACACCCAGCAACCCCATTCACCATGATCATAATAAGTGATTATGGGAGTTATACTCCAAAATATATGCGGGGGCAAAGATTCTGTGCCCCACTATCAATCAATACAGTTAGCACAGACATTCATATTTAATTGTTTTTGATACACATACCATCCACATACAAGAAACTCTGCAGTATAACTCAGAGATGAGGAAAGATAAAGGAAACATAATATGTGTGCCACTGTGGGCTATAGGGCTAAGCAATAAGCTGTGTACTAAGAAAGCAATAGGTATAATTAGTGTTTTCCCTTTTTTTCATTAAAAAGTTATAGAATATGTCCCCTTGAAGTCCTGATTTGCCTCCTGTTGCAGAGGGGATAGTTGAAAATCACTGCTCTAAAAGATACACATTCCTGTAAGCCACCAAAAAAAGGGGGGGATGGGAAGAATAACAGAATAATTGATTTGGAAGGGACATATAAGGCCATCTAGTCCAACCCCTTAGTGCAGGAATCCAGATCAAAGCAGATCTGAGAGATGGTTGTCCAGTTTTCTCTTGAGTGTCTCCAGCATTGGAGCACTCACCATTGTCGTACTGCTTGAACAAATTAAGAAGTCCTACTGGATTGGGTGGTCTGGAATCACACTGTAAAAATAGATGGGCATGTGCCTGTAAGATACAGGAGGAAGACAGCTCCTACCCATTTCCCTGATGGAACAGGGGCATGATCATATTATGGCACCCCATTACTAGTAATAACCAACTTAACGTATTGGTTTGGTTGGTCTCTTTTCTCTGTAGGTGAAGAGAGGAAGACACCCAGTGATTCAAACAGTCCTTCTTCTTCTTCCCTGTCTGCACTTAGCGATTCTGCCAACAGCAAAGAAGATGCAGAGATGAGCCCCAAACCCAAGGGTCAAACCAACCTCCTAGTTATTTCTGTAGTGCCTGGTAGCCAGACCATAATAAATGCGGAAGAGAAGTCAGAGAAAGGTAAAAAATTGGTGGAATGGATGCCAGGTCCCTCTCTACACTTAGCTCAGAGCTGTACGATGTGATGTAGGTAATAGTGTCTCTGATTTCCTCTTGCAGGTTTTGAATGTGTTTTCTGTAACTTTGTCTGCAAAACAAAAAACATGTTTGAACGCCATTTACAAATCCACTTGATCACACGGATGTTTGAATGTGATGTGTGCCACAAGTTCATGAAGACTCCTGAGCAATTACTGGAGCACAAGAAATGCCACACTGTCCCCACCGGTGGGCTCAAGTAAGGAAAGCAAGTACACAAACTTTTACTGTGTTAAGTACTTCAGATATTGTGGGGATAGAAGGGAGGAGCTTGAATGGCATCCGTGCCACTCTGGGGATTCTGCACCAGATCTGGGTATTATTTTTTAACTCTCACTGATCAACAGAATTCATTTAAGCTTC